TATTTATACACAATTGTGTACTACTTTTAAGTTTTTATCTCAAAATTGATATTTTGGGCCAGGGATTTAGCTCAGTGGTTCTGCCGCCTCCCTTGCAAGTGCAATGTCTTGAGTTTGATCCCCAGTGCCAAAAAAAAAAAAATGATTTTTTACTTGTGAAAGCAGGAATCCATGTTTCTGTCTCCTCTATGGCTACCAATTAACAACATAATATCTGCTGAAAATTGTTTTCACCCATAAATCATAATGCCATCTCTGTCAAATCATAAATCTCTATACATGTTTGGATATGTTTTCCAATTCTCCATTTTGTCCAATTGTTCTATTTGTATAGTAATTAAATAAGCATATCTTTATAAAATGTAATTATCTTTTTAAAACTTCAATGTTTGCATTTTTTCTGAAACTTCTGTTTGACTCTTTTCCAAATATGATTCTACTGTTCCATGATTTTTGAATGTTTTGTTGTGATTTCTTCTCCTATTTTTCTCTCTTAAAATTAACACTTTGACTATATAATCTCATTTAGAGTAGTATATAATGTCCTCCTTTGCAGCTGTTAATCTCCTTAGTGTTAGATCTGCTGATCCCTCTTCATGGAGGTTCCTATCTTCATTCTGTAAGTTCTTCCTCCGTGGAAGTTCCTCTCTTTGGGATTTTAGGGGTGGAAGAAGAATATTAACAGAACAGTGTTCATTTACTCTGTTTCAATGATTTCCTGACAGCTCTTTGGGTAATTTACCTACTGCCATCTCTATATTATGGGAGTAGGAAACAATCAGATTCCTTTCCTGGTCACAGTGTTTTGCTTCCCATACAATCACATTGCCATGTTTTTTTTTCAGATGTAGCCCAAGTGCATGCCAAAATCCTCATGGTTTCCTGAACAAATTGACCTTTTCTAATCCTCTTCTTCTGGACAAGGCACCTTTTAAGACTTCACAGTTTATCCAGGTTTAACATTAGTGCTTGCTTCCTTTGGAGTACATACTAACACTGGTTGTGAAGATAACTTGCTATCAGACATTATGATTAAACAGACAATATATTCTTTATGATAAAGCTTTATAATGTCATTGTACTTTCAAATTTCATTAAAAGAGAAAGAATCATAAGATAGTACTTCCTAAAAAATAAGTTGCAGAGCAATATAATATCCTTTTACTTGGAGAAAAAGTAACCATCATTTTTCCTTGTCTCTAAAAAAGAATTTCACATCACCTGAGGTTGTGCTCTAAATGATCACTTTTGATGAACAAATGCATAAGTCATAGGCATTAAGCTGTTTAAAACTAGACAATAGTTCACTGAGTGGGGGAGGCATTAGTTTTATTCTATACCTTTTAACATTACATCTACAGCAATACACCAGTAAACTTTAAGAAAAATTCTCATTGGTTCTTCTTATAATTTTATAATCTAAAAGAGTAATACCGTAAAGTTGGATTTATTAAAGTAATTCATTAATAAACCTCCATCATTCACAGGTTTTATAATGTCTTTAGTTTTTTGATTATAGCATTTGTATTCTTTTAAGCTGGATTTTAGACTACAAGTATGAATACTGGAGAGATAAACAAAAAAGATTTAATATCTTTTACAGATATCTGTTACAGATTCCTTAATGTTTTCCTGATATTTTCAACAAGTATTAAGTGTTCCTAAAGCTTTATACAACTCAAATAAGCTATATTGCAAAAGTTATACATTATGAATCTTTAGTAAACTAACTCACAAGCCCCTACTTCATTAGAAAGTTCTAATTTCAGTGCATTATGTCTCTTAAAGCAAGGGGCTCTGAGATTCGCCTCTAGTAACAACCAACTGGTTGGCTTTTGAAAGCAAAACCTTATTCCTCTTTAAAGATAATTTAAAATGTCAGAACTGAGAACTAGATTGTGATGGGATTGTAAGACATACAAAGTCTCTCTGAGAATCTTAGCAAAATAAGTTAAAGAATACTAATATAGAAATAACCATTTTCAATTTTACTCTACTGCAAGTTCAATTTAATAAAAAGTTAATTAATAAAAACCAATCATTTGCCTTCCCAGATTTAAAAATAAATAGTCCATTTAAGTGTATGCTAAAATGTGCCTAAAATAGTACAAAAGTTATCACAGTCTCATAGAAATACAGAGATTAGTAGTAAGATAATGGGCAATCAGTAACATTTTCTCCATGCTATTAAATTCTTGTAATGTTTTATAGTACAGGGAAATGTGGATCTAATTTGAGGCTATACTTTTAAGGATTCTTATCTATATCTCTCCAGTGGGTTGTTATTTCAGAACATTTGTAACTGTTAGTAGAGAAACTTCTCATTTTATATTCCTGCAAACTGAAACTAAAAGAAAGTGTTTGGGAGTTTTGGACACTATACGGCTTAATTTTCCTAGCCCAGTTCAACTATTAGAAGTTTGATGGCTATCCAATAATCTTAATGCCTTTTATGTTTCCTGTTCACTTTAGGTGGAAGCAGGGGAAATGAGACTGAGTCATCCTTTAAGTCAACCCCTTAAGAATAGAGGATTTAAGACTAGAGATTGTGCAGGTGTGAGTTGCCTGACCCAGTGTTCATATTACAGAAGGTGAAGAATGACTTTAACTCCAACTCCAAAAACTCAGGAGATGGCCCAGAATCCAAAGCCAAACCAAGGAGACAGGAGGTCTGAAATGAGGATTCTTATTAAAACAATCAATCAAGAAATATTAATAAAATGTCTAAAATGTGTTTAGTGCTATGTTAGGCTAGAAGAAGATCAAACATTGAGGAAAAGGGACAAACAAATGCTTGAAGAGGCAGAACATTATATATTAGATAATAATGTAAAGCTGAAATTATTCTCAAAGGTAACCAAATGAGAAAAAGAATATAAGTAAATCTAGAAGTAAGAAATAGAAAAACAACCAAAACAGAGAATTAGATGTAAATGCAGGTCAACAGCATTAATGGGAAGAATTTTTATAAAAAGCAATCAATAGGGCCGGGGATTTAGCTCAGTGGTTCCAGCGCCTGCCTCGCAAGCGCAAGGTCTCAAGTTCGATCCCTGGTACCAAAAAAAAAAAAAAAAGCAATCAATAATAAGGGACACACTTGCCCCAGAAGAGGAGAGAACATAAGATAAAACAATGTCAGAACTCAAAGGCACCCCCGGGACGCAGCCCCCTAGTCCCTCCAGGAAGGAAAGCGAGGCCCTGAAGAGAGTTAGTGTCCTGCTTTAAGGTCACACAAACAGACCTCAGACTGGAACCCTAATCTCAGACTCCCACACTGCCATCTGCCATACAAACCCAGCTCCATGTCTCGGGGCAGAAGGCTAGAGTCATGAAGAGAAAAAAAACTTGAGAACAGAAGAGAGAGAGAACTTAAATGGAGTATACAGTCCCAAAACATCATCAGTGAGGCCTGAATTCTAGGGGACCCAGCCAAGCAGAAGAGGGTGTGCATTTGATTTCCATGTGCCCAAATAAAGGTGTGAGTTTTAAAATGCCTTTTTACATAGACTGCTTGACTTGATTGCATTTGGATAAGACCCTTCGCTTTTTTCATAACATCTATTTTTTGTTGTTGTTGTTCATAAGCACTAAAAATACAACCTGAGAAACTCTATAGCATACCCAACCTTTTTCAGATCTCCCAGACAAACTCCAAACTACCAGCCTTCCCCATCTCAGGAGTGTGAAATCTTATTTTACAGTTCTCTGCTCAAATTTAACAAGCTACCTCCTGCTTAACCTTCTTCTGTGAAACCTGAAAGCAGCAGACAATTGCATGGCCAACCCTGGCTCCTCTGGCTTCCCAACTCTCCCCATCAGGAGGCCAGGGCACCATAATTTCAACCTCTGATAACAGCCCTCTGCTATCCTGAGTGTAACATAAGGCTTAGCTTTCCATCTTTGTACCTTAAACACAAAAGAACCCCCTCCCCCAAAAGACATGTTTCTAACCATTGTCTCACCCTTTGACTTTGAGAGAGAAGCATTTAGACAGCATTTAATTATCTCAGAACTATCAAAGACTGATTAAATGAATCTATGCCGAGACTGGAGTTTTTGTTGATGATACTGCTTTTACTGCTTTCTGGTGAAGATATACTCAGTGAAAACACTATGGCTCTCAATTAGGCAGCTGGGTGACTTATAAATATATATTTATGTTTGAAGCCTTAAGTGACCATTGCCTTCCCTACTGTTTTACTTAGCTAACAAAACAACTCTATCAAAGTAAGTATTATTCCAAAACCCAACTTCCTGTGCAGAATGCTCCCATATGCCCCATCAGTCTAGCTCTCTGATGAACTACATCATTTCTTATAAACTGTCCATGGCTCATAAATTTCTAAGCATAAAGGCTATTACTGTGCTGTGCAAATCTGCTGAGGATTTGGGCCTTTCGAACTCCGTTTTACCTGGTTGAAAATGAGATTGGGTAGAAAGTCCACTGCAGACTTTCTGTCTTCCCCTCCCTCTCTGCTCCACTCCAATTTTTATCAGTGAGAATTATTTAATGTGTGCAAGACTGGAACAAGGGTTTACTTTGACAAATGTTAAGCAGCTTCTGCATCAAATTAGCATTTTTTTCCTACAAGTGCTACATAGAAGGGTATAGAAAAGAGAGATCTGGACAATTTTAAAAGTAAGTAATCTGTACAATGTAGTTTTAGAAAACTGAGAGGGCCAGGAATTTAGCTCAGTGGAGCCACACCTGCCTCACAAGAGCAAGGTTCTGAGTTCGATCCCCTGTACCAAAAAAAAAAAAAGAAAACTCAGAAGGTTAAAAAATCTTTTTTTCTTGTATTAGCTGAAAAATTCTAGGCAATAGTGAAAGAGGAATCACAAGAACATACTTTAGAATGCCAGAGAATGGCTAAATCTAGTATATATCAGTACACATTATGCTACTCTAGATTGTGTAATAATCAGAAAAAGTAAGGATGCTATGAGATCTCTAGTGTAAAGAAGAACCACATTGTCAGACATCATCATAAATTCCCCTAACTTTATTTGTATTTATTTTTGTGCTTTGCATTTTACAATGGGTTCTTAGATACGTATAGGTACAAAAGATTCAGGAGAAATGGCACACTGACTGACATGTCTGTGTTCCTGAAATTTCTTGGTAGCTCATCATCAACTTCAGTGGGTTCCATTAAATAATTAAAACAGTCATGATGATATTGATAGTTGATAACTCTGTTGCATGAGCTGGAGACTAAGGACTCAGTAAGCATTTGCTGCAAAGGAAATTAAAACATATATTGATGTTCTCCAAAATCGAGCCATCTAAATTTATCAACATCAAATCTAATGGTTTAAAGAGCAAATTAATCCACCTCAGACTTTTTTGAGACAAATAAAGCTTCCCTGAGTAACACTGAAATAGAAGGAAAAGAAGGAAAGAGTGAAGGGAGAAGGAAGGGAGGAAAGGAGCACTTTGTTTATTTCAGACATTTCAAGGGGTTTTTTTCTTTGTGCTAAAGAAGCAGTCTCACCTTGCCAGGCTCTAACCTAGAATCTGTCTTTTCACCTTCACACTTCCATTCCCAGCTCATTAGGTAAATAGTGAGATGCCCTTACTATTGTTAGCCTTGTTGACACAGAATTACAGTGTTTTGCTGAAGAATTCTTCCTGGCAATATAAGGTAATTGCGGTTGTTCCTGTAATGTATTTAGTGCAAAAGGGGCGAGTAAATTCTAAGGAAATAAGAGAGATTTTGTTCCCTTAATCACTTTAAAACCATTAAAAACTTTCTTTTTCAGGCAGTTATAACTCTAATGTGAAACTACTTATCAAATAAACTAGCTGTATCTAATCTAAAGGATTTGGAGTAAAGGAGAACATGATGAAATAACATCTTAGCAACTCAGTGTCTGAGTCTAAATGCTCCTTTAAATGAAGTCCTCCTTGCTAAACTACTGTTGCATTTATGACATCATGACAGTTTTATCTTCTTTTCTGGAAAAATATTGTTTGTTGAACTCTAATATATACTCCATAATAATTAAGATTCAGCAAAGCCATATTTTTCTAGATATAATTCTCTCTGCTGTTTATACATAACAGTCTCACAAAATTCCTTTTCAAGGAAATATTCAAAACTAATAATATGGTTCATTATCCATATTACATGCTGTTGAATGATTTGTAAAATCTTGATCTAAAAATCCCAGGTATTTGAAACAAGAAGTAAAATCTAACATGAGATGTTAGTTGCCATTTTTCACTCTAAAATTCATTCATTTAAAGTGTTTTTGTGCTCTATAAGATGAAGTTACACTCTCCTGCAAGTTATCTTTTAAAAAGATCATAAAATCTCACTGTGATATTTAACTGAAGAGTAATAACATAGTGTCAGATATTTAGACAGCATAATGGTGTAACACTCTGTATTTTGACATCTGTCCAAGCAGATGTTTAAAACTTAAATTCTTCAAAAATTTTAAAATTTTATAGAAAAAGACCAGGGAATCATTTTTGTATAGTAAAGCTACTTCATTACATTTTCGCCATGCACAATTTAATTAATGGAAACAGACAGGAAACTAGCAATTTATATAGGGTTTCCAAGAATTTGGTCAACATGAAAATATATATATGCAACTTTTCTTACTGACACACCATCATTATTCATCTTGTCTATTTACATGGCTTATGTGTGCATATAAAATAGTTTTACTTTGATATTTTTTCTTGATTTGAATCAGTATAGCAAGCAATTTGATCTTGAAAAGCAACTGTTAGTCTTCAAAGCATCAGCAGGAATGTTTGTTAAGATGTGTTCAAAAAGTAACAATGAGTTATCTTTTTCATATGCCATAATACTGCTACAGAATATGAATGTGATATATTTCTTTTTAATTAAAAGTAGTTGTATTGTAGTGTGATTTTTAATAACTTCAGTGTCTTAGAATTTCTACATTTTAGATTCATGTTGAAACTTGTACACCACCACATGCTGATTGCAAAATTCATTAGTGTGTAAATCATGTTTTAGTGATAGTCCTTTAAACAAAGTTGGTTTGATTGCAATCTGCTCACTGGTTAGCTTATTTATTATGAAGGTTTGTCAGCCAGATCAGTTAAGTTAATCAGTAACCAATAAAAGATTTAAACCCATAGATATGTCAGGCGATTTATACTGAAAAAGGTTTGGGGATTCTTAATAAACACTCATGAAAACATGGTGTATGATACTTCAGAAACCTTATTTCCATACTGTATCAAAGTTTAAGGAGATTCCCTAGTTCAGCTGAAAAGGGAGAAGAGCATATGTTATTTTCTTGAGTTTTATTATCTGACTATATGTCCATAGAAGATACTTAACTTGATTTGCTTTGGAATCAATATGCAGTTTCCTATCTCTGTTTTTCTACAAGGCTTAGTGGGCTGTCGCTTGAAATAGAGGAAGCTTTTTCGCACAGCCTAGATCTCTCATAGTTATATAACATCAGTAATTGTCCACAGGATTAAGAGAACTCACTCTTAGAAGGTTTTGCTATTGCAATCTTATTTTAAAAATCTTTAGGGAAGGAAATCATGATGCCAAACATAATTAAGACCAAATTCAAACAAATGCTTTTTTTTTTCCTCCACTGAATCATTTTAGAAAACAAATATAAAGTGTGAAATATTATTCTTTAAAAGTAGAGGTTACATACAAGTTATGAGAGTTTGAAGTCTTTGGATCTGTTTCCTTGTCTTTGAAATGACACTAGGAAAGGAAGGTAAAAGTTTGAAATAGATTGTATCTAAACTCAGTACTTGTATGTGTTATGCTATGCACCCAATAACAATCTTTATCTAACTCACAGGAGACCACATTGTAACCATAAAGTTAATGCAATGCCTTGCAAATGGCATATTTTTAACAAATAGTTACCAGCATTGATTACTGCATAGTTAATATCATGCATATTCTCACAGACAAAGGTAAGGAAAGCTCTTTATAATAATTAAGTCAACCTAATCTGTTAATGACAGAGATGGACAATTAAGATTTAAAACAGAATAAAGTCTGTGGATATAATTCAGAAGCAAAGAACTTACTTAGCACACACAATTCCCAGGTTAAATCCTAACACCAAAAAGGAATTAATTAAGTTTTTAAAAAATATTTTTAATCATATTTGGCTTTGTTATTTAAAAGATTTCTCAAATTTCCACTTTCTTTTGCCAGATCTCTAAATAGTCTCTCTATATTTGACTTTATAAGGCTTTGGGTGTGGAAATTTGGGGTTTGGTTTTTTTAAAGGGAATCTACTTATGTTAACTCTTCCAATCAGCAAGAAATATACATAAAATATTTTTACCACAATAGTATCTTTTGCTGAAGTAAAATAATTACAGTCACAGGAGACCATGATATTTGACTTTAATGAACGGCATTTATGTGAAAACTCCTTTTCACCTATTCATGTGCTAAGGTACCAAATGTCTTATTAACGCATCTTTCTCCTATGCCCAAAGTTCAATATATCAGGAGGTCAGAACTATCTTGTGTTACTTTCTATGCTTTATGTCAAAGAGAAGAAAAAAAAAAAAACAATGGGAGATCCACTTGGAGGAAATTCTGCATTTGGTTAGATGTGATGACTTTCATCACAAAAACATCATACCAATGCCAAGTGTGCTTGCAGCGTGACTTCAAATGTTGTACACTCTCCCATAGGCATGATAAGAATGGCCTTACAGGGCTGGGGATTTAACTCAGTGGTTCCACCGCCTGCCTCGCAAGTGCAAGGACCCAAGTTCGATCCCCGGTACCAAAAAAAAAAAAAAAAAGAAAAAAAAGAATGGCCTTACAGATGTAAAACTCTAATTTTCTTCCAAATATATCTTTCTTTTAATTAAATAGTAATAAGGGAAGAAGCACTGGAAATAGGGTATTAATATAATTTAAATATTAAACATGCTACAGTCCGAAAATATATAAAAGATGTAAAGCATCCAAATATTCAACTGTGTATATTTCCATGATACTTTCATATATTGTAAGTTAAGCATGTTCAATGCTGATCTATGAGGCTCAAAGCTCTTCAAGGTATCAAAATATGACCATTGGAAGTGAATCATATTTTTTAAAATTTTAATTAGAATTACTTGGTTACATATAAAAGAAAGAAAAGCAAAATAACTGTGATGGAAGGATGGAAGAAAGGAAAGATGGAAGAGGGAAGAAAGAAGAAAAAGTAAAGGAAGGCAAGAAAAGGAAAGAGAAAGTTCAGAGAAAGAGGAGGGGAAAGAGGGAAAGGGGGGAGGGAGAAAGGAAGGAAAAAAAGGAGAGTAAGGAAGGAAATGAAAGTTAGGTTCCTTCTTGTGTAAAAATAGAGGTATGCAGTTTTGAATTGATAAAATGCCTTCAAAATATCATTAGTAGCCCAGCCTTCTATCTTACTGTTGTGATATCTTACCAGGTAATTTCTATCTATCATCGGGGACATCTCATGATTAGGCTAGCTGTTTGGAGTTTAGCTATCACATTCCAGTTGCTGCTCTAACACAATAGAAACAGAAGGCAAACAAGTTTCGCCTTAGCCAAGTCACCTTCTTTTAAACATCCCAAAAGCAATTTTGCTTGTTTCTCTTTGGCCAGAGCTTAGTCGCAAGACCATAATTAGCTGCAAGAGACACTGGAAACAATCTCTAATTCTGAGTGGCAAGAGACCTGACAAAAATTCAAGGTTTCTTCTTAAGGAGCAAGGTAAGAATGCTGGGACAAACAAGAAGCAGCCTCTGCTACATAAATGCTTAAATGCATATGTTGTGAAATATTTTCAAAGGAATATTCTACCATGGGAGGAGAAAGAGGTTTGCTAATGAAGGCTACTCCTAATGACTGTAGAATATGGGTGGAATGCTAAGTTTTAGGAGTTGGACTTTCTATGGTTTGGTAAAAACCAACTTCCCAAGCAGAAAAAAGGAAGCCTGAATCTGTTTCCGATATTTTCAGCTCATCAGAGACATTACTGGTATAAGAATTGGAGTGTGAGCTGGAGGTGTAGCTTATTGACGCCGCACCTGCCTGGCAAGAACAAGGTCCTGAGTTCGATCCCTGGTACCAGAAAAAAAAAGAAACAAAGAAGGAAAAGAATTGGGGTCTGGCAATGCCAGACATCTAGGAAACTTTGTGGTATCTATGCTAAGTACAGGAAACAGCATAAATGAATGATAGGAGCGGGGGCTTTGACATCCCACAGACCTTGTTTCGAGTAGGAATTCTGCCATTTCTCCCTATTCTTCCCAATCCTCAGTTTCTTTATCTCCAAAATAAGGGAGCAGCTATGGTTCTAGGGTTGCTGTAACTTTAAAGTAGGAATTCCATAAAACACATAATGCCTGATGTTTACATGCCTAATAAATGAGTAGCTATTAGAACAGTTATCATACATGTTTTTCACTTCTGATTTGCAACAAGATAAGCAATCAAATGCTCCAAACCATAGAGGATGGTGTTTAGCCTTGTTACTGGTAAATATGTCTTTCACCTTTCCCTGTCTCTTCTCCTGATTCCTTAGCTCTTTCTGTCTCTGGCCCAAACGAAGTCTTCCTTGCCACATCTTGGGATGCTCAACAGCATCCACTTAATAATATTGTGAAAACTCATGAATTACTACTTCAAATTGAGGGAAGGTGCATGATCTAAAAGAATTGTCTTTATGAAAGATAGGGAAGGATAATGATTAAGAGCTATGACTCTGGCATGAAACTTGAAAGCCTACCGCCAACACTGGGTCAAGGGGCCTTGACCTCTCTAGGTCTCAGTTTTCTCAACTGTAATTTGGAGATATTATTGTACATAAAACAGTTAAGTAAGAGTCTGGCATGTTGTTATTACACCCCTAATAAATGGGGTGATTGCTACGTTATTGGAAGAAAGTGTGGGAGAGAGAAAAATTTACATTCATTGAAAGCCTCTTCTATGCCACTATGCCAGCACCATACTTCATATGAAAGATTTATATAGCTTTTATTCCTTGTACAATCCTGCAAGTTTCTAAGTCTTTGCAATGGTTTGAATGTTTGTGCCTCTTCCACAATTCATATTGAAACTTAAATCCTTAATGCAACAGTATTAAAAGGTGGGGCCTTTAGGAGGTCATTAAGTCACCAGATCATGGCCCTTATGAATAGAGTTATCAACTTGTATAAAAGTTAGAGGAACTAGTTAGAACCTATTTTGTCTTTCCACTCTTCTACCAGGTGAGGACATAGCACAAGGCCCCTTTGGGGCCTTGCAAAAGGTACCATCTTGGAAGCAGTAAACAACCCTCACCAGGCACTAACTGTGCCGGCACATTGTTCAGGGACTTCCCAGTCTCCAGAACTGGAAGGAATAAATTTCGTTTCTTTTCTTTTCTTTTTTTTTTTTTGGTACCAGGGATAAAACTCAGGACCTTGGGCTTGCAAAGCAGGCAGCAGAACCACTGAGCTAAATCCCCAGCCCTCTTTTCTTTTAAAGTAACCAGTCTTAGGTATTTAGTTATATCAGCACAAACAGACTAAGGCACTCTTGATAGATGAGGACAAAGACACTTTGAATGATAAAAGGACTTACCAAAGATGGAGAGCTAATCCACTACTATAGCATTATTTGGTCCTAGATCTGTGTTTCTGAAAGTAGCGTTCTTCCCGCTCAATTGCTACAGACAAGGTCCCATACCAATCTCTAGTTTAACTTCTTCAAACCCTAACGAAGCAGAGGAAAATTTAGAACACAAGTTACAGTGATTACTTTCAGGAGTGAACTTACCTCAAAAGAATGTTTTCAGCCTTTGACACAAACAATTCTTTTAACATGAATGTTTGTCACCCAGCATATTTTTAACATTAAAATAACAATCAATTACAATGAAATTTTAGAAAACTTACCGTTGGTACAGTTTTATTGCATTTAGATGTGGGGGTTTTGTTGTTGTTGTTTTTTAGATGTTATTTTTATTGTGTGCCTCCAAACTAAAACTCCTTTTCTATGACCGCCATTTAAATATTATACCTGGATCTGAAACAGTTAAGCAAAATGAACATCATTTTTAATGATACCTCTCATGTAAGAAACATCCGTATTTATAGATCTTCTGGTAATTCTCTCCATTAATTCCTTGACCTCAGAATGACCTGAGAAGGTCAACAATTCCTGTAATGTCTGTGAGTGACACATTTTCATCTATAACTTAACTGAAAAGTATATAAAAGCTCAGGCAGCCAGAAAGCAACCAAATAGCTATACAGCTAAGATGACCCCAAAATGCAAGTTAATTCCTCTAGGGTCAATTGTAATTTACGTTCAATTAACTGACTCACGAAACCTGTTTCAGACAGAAGCCAGAAATTAGGACACCTGTTGCTTGACTTTTTAGCGGGGAACACGTTTTGTGATAGCCACCTTCAGGGGCCCTAAGTAAGAGGCTATCAATGGGACTTTCTGTCATTGGATAGTTAATTCTCTTCCACACTGCCCAGCTGCCCACACTGACTCAGTCCAGGAATGTGCTAAAAATTTGGAAGATTTGGATGGAAAATCTATTATTTCTGTCATTGATGGATACCATGCATGTAAATAGAAGAGCCAACCAAGCTCAGCATCCATTTCAACAAATGAAGTACAAAGTTAAACTTCCTTTAAGACACATAAAAAAACATAGAAAGCATTCTGGAGAGGTTCTCAAATGTGAAAAAATTGAGCATCAAAATGAAATAATGTAGTAGTGAATCATAACGCATTAAATAAAGTAAAAATATATTAGCCTATTTTGACACAAATAAATAAATAAATAAATGAAGTTGGAAATGGCAAAACTCTTGCTTCCAGTGCAATGTCAAGTAATAAGTACACAAAAATAATGGAGTTAGAAGGTCATCAATGGATATCACCAGCAGTGAATCAAACTTTGGTGAGGAACAGAATACTTATGTAATAACTAAAATGTTTCCTATCTGGCAGACACCTTGTGTTCAAAGTGATCAGAGTTAATACTACCAGTATGAGGACAAACACATTATGTGCCAGCTGATACCATGTGCCTGGGCCACAGCATCACTTTCATGATGCTCTTGCCAACCATACATAACCTAAACCAAATCATAAGGAAACCAACTGAGGAACAGTCCACAAAACAACTGGTCTGTACTTTTCGAAAAAGGTCAATAAACCATGAAAGACTAAAACATTGCTCAAGAATTAAAGCTAAAGGGGCTGTGGTTTTAGCTCAGTGGCATGGAGCCTACTTCATAAGTGCAAGGTACTGAGTTTGATACCCAGTGTTGAAAGAAAAAAAAAGAATTAAAGCTAAAAACACAAGATGTAATGTATGACTCTGGTTAGATTCTAAATTGGGGGAAAAATTATATAAAGGACATTGTTGTAATAGTTAGTGACATTTGGATATGGACTATGAATTAGAAATTGTAATTCAGTTACAATTTACTATTAGAATTGTATTGATGTTAAATTTCCTGAGTTTTGATAATTATTCTGGAGTATTTTTTTTAAGTCCTTATTCTAAAAATATGCAAACATGTACAGGGAGGTATTCAGTAGTAAAGGAGTACAGTGTCATCTACATTCTTATTTTTTTCCGTTAAGTTTATTGGTATATTTTAGGTATACAATACAGTTACATTAATCATTGGTATCTTGCACCTTTACATGAGTATCTTGGTTCTTATTTTTGCCCCATCCCCCTGCCCTGCCTTCACCCCCTCCACCCTTCCCTATTTACAAAGACTTTGTTTCTATTTTTTTCCTCTTCTCATATTTTTTCTTTTCTCTTCTTTTCTTTTCTCTACCCCTCCCACTTCCCCTACTCCTTTAGACTTTTCCCTATTTCATAATATCAATTATACATTTTTATCCTTATTTTCACTTTTAGTTTTTCATACCAGAGAAACTATTCAGTATTTACACGTGTGTCCTATTTATTTCACTTGAAAGTATGGCCTCAATGTGCACCCACTTAGCTATAAATGTCTCTAGTTTCTTGTTCTTTATGGCTGAGTAATACTCCATTTTAAAAAAAAAAGCAACACATCTTTTTTATCCAGTCTCCAAGTACATTTTTAAATGGTTCAGAAAAAAGTTATACGAATTATATGAAAAAGAGACTAATAAAACAAAAGTAAAATGTATATAATCAGTAATATCTAAGTAAAGGATTAAAGGGTTATAGGAGTTCCTTCTTCTCTCTAAAAATTCAAAATCATACCAAAATGAAGTTATTAAAGTTATTTTTAAAGTTACAACAAAATTATAAAATTAAAATCTTCAACAAAACAAAGATATTACCAATTAAAAGACACATACCAATATATTTAAAAGTGACTCAAACTGGTAACTGGTATTTGATTGAAAATAATTATACAAAAAGAGAGGGGAGTGAGGGAGGGAATGAATGGAGGAATAGATAAAATTTTGATCATTATAATTCTTGAAGTCTGATGGTTTTTTATACAGTCTCTCAACTTTTGTACTTGTCTGAAAACTTTCCTTCCATAACACAGAAATTTTAAAGGCAGTGTCACACACTATAATCCCAGCTAGTCTGGAAAATGAAGCAGGAGTATCACAAATTCCAGGCTAGCTTGGGCAACGTAGTGAGACCCTGTCTCAAAATACAAAGTACAAAGGGCTGTGGATTAAAATTTTTATAAAGCTAAACTTCCTGTAAGTTGATGCTTCACTTACTGCCTTCCCTCTCATCCTTGAGATTCATGACAAAGAATATGGATGGTTTAGGTCATTGCCAAAATTATAATTTGGGTTCAAAGCCAGTATTTTCTAGGAATTATGCAAGATTTAATAGTAAGAGCAGGAGGCCTGGTGTTCTCATAGTGCATTTCTTAATATATAGTTATAGTGGAGGTTTTCATTCATTGCTCTTCTGTTCAGAAAAGCATTGTGCAGCTTGGAGTCAGAGACTGCAGGGGAGAAAAGCCTGTGTCACTAGACTTTAAGATGACACGTTCCTGCACATTTTAGGTTCTGGAAGTTTTTCCATCTCGGGGACATTGCATCTTCAACTGGCTATTTAAAATTAAATCTTAAAGAAATAAATAGGAGAAAAAAAGCACTGTCTAATATCAGAGTGAAAACCAAAGGAAATATCAAGCTTTAGTGAACACCCATTGAGATTTGCTAGAATCAGGAATCTTTCTGAGAACCCAAACAAACAAGACATCCTTGTTTTTGCTATGATTTCCATCCCTAAAGGGAGCCCAAGTTGCTTCATTTAGAAGTAGAGACAGAAATGTAAAATTGTTACTAAAGTAGACTATTTAGTGGCACTTACAATAATAATAATTTTTAAATTTGCATAGCATGCTTCAAAAGTACTACATCAACAAAAAAGACAAACCTCAAGGTATTTATTTAAATGCACTTATTGACACTCATTGCCCCATTTACTCTCTGACCACCTAGAGAGCCAAATGTTTACTTTTTTCTTTGTTTCTATAACCAGCAACAGGTGAAATTAATACAAGGTAAGAAGGTGTAAAATTTAGTCAATGACATAAGCCAAATATTCACCTCGTGTGCCTTGGAAATGAGCAGGTGGTACAGATGACACTAAAGATCTGTCTGCATTATACCTTAAGATACTGCTTAATGATTACTCTTTATATTCCCCTTCCAAAGAGAAAAAGTATTAGGAATACGTGTTTGCATTTCAGAGTTGCTTCAAGATGTTGTACAATATTATAACTCTGCTATTTGTCAACTATGCAAACACCAAGTAAAGGTGTCATTGTACACAACTGACAATATCCACCTAAGGGGAGCCTCTTTTCTGGAAAGCTTGCCATGGAGGTTCACCTCTGTTTTCCTGCTCCAAATGAGAACTCTGTTACTACATACTTTGGTTCATAAGAGGTATTCCAGACACATATCTATCTGTATGACACACCTTTTCCTGGGAAAACAGTCAAAGGGCTTAAGCATTGCTGAAGAAAATCACACAGCCATGCACAAAATGCTATCCCTTGGTCTTCAATTTCATCTAAGTCCTGGATGCCAGCCAGCAAGCTTGGCATTTCGGCTAAGTTCCATCCATCATTTCCCATGGTGGCTGTTAACATTTAACACTACCTAAAGCCCTTTCCCTTTCTTCTACTTTTAGGGGTGACCAACCTCTCAGTTTATCCAGGTCTGAGAGGGTTTCTGAGATATGGGACTTTTAAAGTTAAAACCCAGCTTCCCTTCCACTCCCTTACCTTATCATCAAATGACATCACCATTCACATCTCAAAATAAAAAAAGGTTAAGGCTATAAGGTTATCAAGTATGAACTCTTCCCAAATTTCAATTCTGCCACCCATGTCTGGACATACATCACTTGCCGTTCATCTCAGAAGCTAGGTATCACACTATTGACTCACAACTTCATTGTCCACCCGAATGATCTCTCCATTATTTAAACACCCTTTCCTGTAAATTCAACATGTCTTCTTTTTCCCCATCACTACGCAAATATGTTCAAGCCTTTCCCTTCTTTACCATATATATAGATATCTACATATATCCCTGTTACCCTTGATAGCCTACTCCTTGCCTTTCCTAGAGCAAAAACATCTTCAAAGATATCCCAAATGATCTTATCTACTCCAATGGCTCCTCCCAAATTTTTTTAGTTCCAGTCCAAATCTCTTTAATTAAATACAGGCCTAGGTCTTCACCTTCTTAATGAGCATCTTTAGCTTGACAACTCAAAAGTACATACCTAAAAGCCAAAATGTTTGGAACAACTTCCTCATCTTTCTGTTTAATCTGGCCCTTCCTCTAAAGTTACCATTCCAGAAAGTGGAACCACAATCTTCCCAATGTTCAAAACCAGAAATCATGTTAGCTCTTAACTTTATACTTTGTCCCCACGTCTGCACTCCTGTTTCCTAAACATCTTCTCCTATTCATCCCTTTTACCTCCTGCCCCAACATATCACAATGTTTTTACTGTTTTCTAAATTCCTAGTTTTAGTCCCACTTTCTTCAAACTATCATTCAGGAGGCTG